CAAACAGAATCAGACCATTCATTGCTCTCTATGGAGTGGCGGTTGCAAACAGAAATGTGTCCATTTACACCCACCTGCATCCGATCTTCTAAAAACAGATGGATGGGGATCCATTCCCCATCCATCTAGTAGATCTGATGACAGTAGGATTTTTGTTTTGAAAGGTGGTCCATTTACATCTGAATGCCCATAGAGGAAAGCATGCTGTGTCCACTCTGCATAAGCTGAGCAGACCTGTCATCCACCTGCTTAGCAAGGTCAATGTACAGATCCCTCCCCTGAGCAGGTGGGTCCACACATGTGAGATGGGTCTAAGATGAACTAGCATATTTAGATGGACTTTACAGACAACTTAAAGACAAACTTTAGCTAACACTTTATAGGCAGTTACAGCAAACTGTTTTTCCTTTTGGGATAAAGGTTTTGCATGAATAAAAGCTGTTCCTTTTAAATACTCCTGCCAGTGTTAAGTAGCTTGTCTCATCCATGTAAATTGATACATTCTGCTGGAGAGCCTGAGCTTGTGAAAAACAGTAGACTTCCTGGCTGGATTACCAGATGAAAACAGAAGAAAAAGAAAGCCTAAAACAAGAAAACTAATGCAGTCATATCTAAGAACTGATAAGCTGCCATATAATACATGTTACAGCAAACAGTGCTTTTCCTTTTGTGATAAAATGTTTTACAATGAATAATAAAAAAAAAAAATCATTGCAAGTACTCATGTGGTAAATGTTTTGTGTCAACACCAACTGACACTTTTGCTGGACAGTTAGGTCTGGTAAAGGAAGTTGAAAAATAAATTAAGGGCATATGTGGTTTGATCAAAACAATAGAATCTGCAAACAGTCATAACTTTCCTTCCTATCGATTTAGACTCAATTTCAATTGCATTTGAACAAATAGCGTTCATCGGCCAGGGCAGAAAACTATTGATTGTGCTGCATTGATGGGTAGCATTGAGATGCTTAGGTCATGAATATGATCATATTTTAAATCGATCAGATTACGAGATTACATGATGGAAACAGAAAAGCAATTGAAGAGTTACGACTGAAAGTTACGACAATTTCCAAGTTATCCATTAAAATGCAGTTCCCTGTGTGTGGTATGTTGATCACATGGGTTAACGACTATAGATTGATTACCCCTTACAGAAGGATTAGTGAGAAAAAAAAATATTTATCGAAGTGTGTAGGGCCACCATAAGGCTGGCAATGCACAGATTTTTTTTTTTTTTTTTTTTTTTTTTTAGTTTTTTCATTCAGGCTAAAAAAAAATAAAAAAAAAACCCCTAAGATTCCTCTATTCATGCTATAATTAAATCTCCTGCTACAGCTATTGTATTTTGACAGATCAAAATACTTGAACAGCAGCTGTATCAGTTTGGATGTGTAGGCGAAAATTTACCCACAGGCTCCTTTGACAAAAGTTGATTGAACTAAGCAGGGCCAGCACAGCCACCCACTGTGCAAATTTCTGCTGCTTCATTAGGAACGCACAGTGTGGTTGATTTACTAAAACTGGAGCACTCAGAATCTGGTGCAGCTGTGCATGGTAGCTAATCAGCTTCTAACCTCAGCTTGTTCAATTAAGCTTTGACAGAAAAAAAAAAATATACTGAAAGCGGATTGGTTTCTATGCAGAGCTGCACCTGATTTTGCACTCTCCAGATTTAGTAAAATCAACCCCAGTGTATGGCCAGATTTATTGGTCAGATCAATGAGTGAAAAAGGAAAAAAAAGCTGAAAAAAAAAAAAAAAAAAAGAAACCATTAAAACCACAACATTAAGAATTAAGCTGCAATATATTACAGTATTGCTTTTGGGTTTAATACCGCTTTATAGGATAGGTACATTTCATAACAAACCCTATTCTTTTTGCCCCTTTGCCTTGACCTAAACCAACCTATATACCCCTTCCACAGATGTAGAATTACCTCAACTTGATGGCTACAGCCTCTGATGCTTGTTTATATCCAGTGGTGTCAAGTGTCACTTTCCTGGCCACACCTGTGCATTACAGCCCCAGAGACATCTAAGAATCCTTCGAAGACTCCTCGTCTCCAGCCTAGGACGCAGTCTTAAGTCTATGGAACTGTGATGTGCAGGCGTGGCCAGGAGGATGATGGGACTTGTGGAGCTGTATGTAAAAATCATCGAAGCTTGGGTCTGTGGATCATGGAATGTATGGAGGGTGAGCCAGACAATAAGATAACAGAGCAAAGGAGGGCCAGACATCTGACACAGCCACAAGTGTTGGATGCCAAAGAATCTTCAGCAGGTTTTTCTCAGTGATGAAGACTGGTGTATTCTTCATATGTCTGGGCTATGAGATAGAGTGGCAAGACAGAAGGCTTTTCTTAAGAAGAAAAACATGCAAGCCCGGCTCAAGTTTGCAAAAACACAACAGAAGTCTCCCAAACGCATGTGGGAAAATGTGCTATGGTCTGATGAAACCAAGGGTGAACTTTTTGGCCATAATTCCAAAAGATATGTTTGGTGCCAAACAATACTGCACATCACCAAAAGAACACCATACCCACAGTGAAGTACGATGGTGGCAGCATCATGCTTTGGAGCGGTTTTTCTTCAGCTGGACCTAGGGCCTTAGTCAAGGTAGAGGGAACTATGAACTGTTCCAAATACCAGTCAATATTGGCACAAAACCTTCAGGCTTCTGCTAGAAAGCTGAACATGAAGAAGAACTTCATCTTTCAGCATGACAACGACCCAAAGCATACATCCAAATCAACAAAGGAATGGCTTCACGAGAAGAAGATTAAAGTTTTGAAATGGTCCAGCCAGAGCCCAGACCTGAATCCGATCGAAAAGAGGGCTGTGCACAGGAGATGCCTTCGCAATCTGACAGATTTGGAGTGTTTTGCACGGAAGAGTGGGCAAATATTGCCAAGTCAAGATGTGCCATGCTGATAGACTCATACCCAAAAAGACTGAGTGCTGGAATAAAATCAAAAAGGTGCTTCAAGGGTGTGCACACTTATGCAACCGTATTGTTTTATTTTTTTTTTATTTTTTACTTCCCTCCACCTAAAAGATTTCAGTTTGTTCAACTGAGTTGTACAGTTTTATAGGTTACACTGATTTATCTTTGTCTCATTTTTATTACATCACAGAAACCTGACATTTTAACAGGGGTGTGTAGACACTGCATATTGCGTTTGCGCAAATACCGTTTGACAAAAAATTGCAACACCAATCATCTTATTCTATAGGGCTTCTGCTAAAAACAATAAAAAATAATATATATATATATATATATATATATATATATATATATATATATATATATATATATATATATATATATATATATGTGTGTGTGTGTGTGTTTGGGGTTCTAAGTAATGTTCTAGCAAAAAAAAATGCAAATTTTTACATGTAGAAGAGGAATGTCAGAATTGGTCCGGTAGGCAAGTGGTTAATGGAGCAGACACTGGAGGTTGATTTAACTGCTCAGCAGGTGCTTGTACTGAGCAACCAAGTGCTTCCATGTACGAGGGTAACCTGAAAGAATAACTTTTTTTTCTCATTGGGCCTGAGCCTGATTTATTTGCTCAGTAAATGCCTGCTGAGCGCTAATATAGGCTGACACTCCCCTTTCTTGACGAGCACCCAATTGGTGCGCATCGCACTGCAAGGTCTCTTCCCTCCCTGCTAGTCCCCTGGCGCGGTGCTGGAGACAGGCAGGGAGGTGATAAACAGAGCAATGTTAAATACATATGGTTTCTTCACTGGGCTTCGATCCCCAGCACTGACATGTTAACTGAGTGCACCCAGCTGTGACTTCTTGCTGCTTCACAGCCAGCTGACCACTACGCATGTGCGAGCCATGCTGCACTTTGTGAATGGAACTTTTGGCGGTGGGTCCACCGCAGCGATCTGGCCAGAGTGGTAACGGCCACCTGACAAAAACAGGTATTCACATTTCCCACCCTCCTCCAAAAAAATATCATCTACATGTGGCAGATTAGGGGGTGAAGAAGGGGGAAGAGCAGAAATTCTGTTCTAGGTGAATGCCATAATGTGCTAGTATGGCCTAAATAATAGTCTATTATGGCAGACTTACCTTTAGGCTACTTTCACACTGATCCGTAGCAAAACTGTGGTAAAATTGCATAGGCATTTTTGCTGCGTTTGCAGTGTCTTTACAGGACCACAAATGCTGCATTTTCCATTGATTTTAATGGGGAGGTGCGTTTTTGGTAAGGTTTTTTACCACACCAAACCAGCAGCAAAAACGCAGCAAGCAAGATTTTAAAAACTGCACCGGACCTGCAAAAGATCAGCGTGAAGGGTTCCATAGAATCCTATTATATTTTTTTTTTGGGGGGTGGATACCGGTTTTGTGGACCCACCAAAAGTTCTACACCACCCATCCCCTCTCCTGCCTACAACCTAGTCACACGTTTTTCATCTGCTTTTTTTTTTTTTTATGCAAAAGCAGAAGACAAATGGATCAGTGTGAAAGCAGCCTTAAGTAGAGGCTTTCAGCACCGCACAACCACCACTGCAGGCGCTACCATCTTTGCCCAGTCTTTCTTCTGGATTCTCGCTCTCCAGTTGTTTGAATGGCTGAGCCATGATGACATCACTCCCGCACATGGGGGTCATCGTGGTGGTACAGCCCTCTGCATTGATGGCAGGCTAAGTGTGCCCTACATGCAGAGTATCCCCACACACGTGCAGTGACATCATCAGCTCCGGCCAATGTGAATATCTCCTAAACCGGATCTATCCACTATACCTCATAATAAACTTACCTGTAGGAACAACCGATAAATCAGTTTTCTGCTGCTTTCATATAAGTATTGCTTAGCCACCTGTCCTACATTAAGCACTTCCTTGCCGTCCTATAGCAGAACTAATGCTACAGGGCCGCAGGGCTGTGCAAAATAACGTATATATACACATGATTTTTGCATTAAGGAGTAAGAGGCGCATGTGCCGCCCTACCGGCACCACCATTGGTGGCTACAGATGTTGATCACCGGGTCCTGGTTGGAGATTCCCCGCCGATCACTGACAAGGGAAAGACCTCTGTGTAAACAACACAGGTCTTTCTCCTGTCAGCAGTAACATGCTGCTGTGTATTTCTCTTCAGAGAAATACACAACAGCATGTTTTCCCAGTAAAAACACACACAGCACACATAATAAAACAGTTAACCCTTTGATTGCCCCAGATGTTAACCCCTTCCTGCCCAGTGTCATTAGTACAGTGTCAGTGTGTTTTATTAGCACTGATCACTGTATTATTGTCAGTGGCAGTTAGTTCCTCTCCAGTTTCAGAATGCCCGCTGCAGTCCCGCTATAAGTCGCTGATCGCCGCCATTACTAGTATAAAAAAAAATCCAGTATGTATACCGCCATTTGTAAACGCTATAACTTTCACAAAACCAATTTACACGTATTAGGATTTCTTTAAAACAGACATGTAGCAGAAAACATTTTGGCCTAAATTTATGAAGACATTTATTTTACATTTGTACGGGATATGTTTAATAGCAAAAAGTAAAAATTTTTTTTCCTAAATTGTCGGGGTTTGTTTATAGCGCAAAAAAAAAAAAAAAAAAATTTAAAAAGAACAGAGGCAATCAAATACTACCGACAGAAAGCTGTCTGTGGGAAAAGGACGTAAATTTCACTCGGGTGCAGCGTTGCATGACTGTGCAATTGTCAGTTAAAGTAACAGCACCGTATCGCAAAAAAATGGCCTGGTCAGGAAGGAGAGTAAATCCTCTGGAGGGCAAGTGGTTACACAGAACAATGCCAGCCCTGGGCCACTATTTGCTGAATATGAGCAGAAAGGTGGGAAATGTCCCTGGCTCAGGTGGGGTGTATGGTAGAGGTGTGGAATACATGAAGGAGGCTCTGTCCATGGCTCCCATAGGGAACCTGTGTGTGCTGTACTGGCCATTCAATGTCACCCCACACACCACAACATTCACCTGGACATGTGCCTGGCCTAATGGTCAGCGACCAATCACACGGCACCCCTCTGTCATTCACCTGACATGATAGGCTGCACTTCACCTGTACAGGCCAATGTGTGTCCGTGTTGTGCTGGGCCATGGACGGGAGGGGAACCATGGAGGTCTACCAGAGGATGGCTATAGATGGAGGGACACAGAGCATGACGTGTTACCGAGAGATCCCCGCCGAGGTCTGCACCATTCCCCCTCACCAACCTGTGCTCACCGCCATCTTCTCCGCCGCCCAGGACCGGAGGAGCCCACGCACTCCTGATGTCACCACGTTCAACTCCCCCCAGCCGGTGCGCGTCACTTCCGTCACCAGAAAACGGTCAGCCCCTCCGCTGCCCAGTGTGCGGGATGGTGAATGAGCGGCGTACTTATCAATGAATGAATGAGTGGTGCAGTGAGCTCGGCCGACCTCTCCATTCAGTGCGGCGCTCAGTCACCCTCCATACTGCGCTGTGTGACTCTGCCAGTCCAGTCCTGTGAGCTCTAAATACACCTGTAGATGAATGCTGTGTCTGCTGAAACAATGAAAGAGCCAGAGCCGCCGATCTTGAAAGGGGAATATGTTGAAAAACGTAAAATGTGACAGGCACGCAACTATCAGGAAAGGAGCAGGAGACCCTGTATGTGGGGGAATTAGCTCAAATGGTAGAGCGCTCGCTTAGCATGCGAGAGGTAGCGGGATCGATGCCCGCATTCTCCATTTTTTAGTGAACGGGAAATTAATGAGCAAAGAGAGCTTACAGCAGATTTTAATTGTTTACTAGAAATCTGCAAACATTCATGCTTTCATACTATATATATTATATATTTTATTTTTTTATATATTTTTCTGTGTGCACAAAGGAGCTTTAAAACATTATGAAGCCCAAAAAGCAAGCATTTATTAATTTTTAGATGTGATGGCTGCATTAGTTTTCTTTTTTTTTTTAGGTTTTCTTTTTTATTTTCACCTGGTAGTTTTTTGTAAATCTTGTTTTTCAACAGAACAAGCTGTCCTGCAGACGTTGCTGTTAGAGTCCTGGTGCTTAACCTGCTGCCCTTTGGAATTGGCTGTGCAGCCCTTGGATCTCAGCAGTCTGTAGTGGGAATATTGGGGTAATAGCATTGATCTCTACTAGCCCCATGTAACATGTTCCCAGGTTCATAATGTCTTATCCAGCGCCAAATATGTAGCATGTCTACACTCTCTGACCCTCATTTCCTTTACTAGGAATTACATTTCTGACAGTCCCCTCAAGCATTCAATATATTGAAAATTATGTGTGGCCCTTGGGTGATGTCAGGGGCTGCATTTAAGGGGCCACCTTTAGCTTATATGTTGACAACCATTGCGTTAAGCCCTGTACACACGATGAGAATATCGGACGAACAATTGCCTGTTTTTTTCGCCTGCTAGTCTCACATCGAAAGTGAAAAGGTTATTAAAGATACGAAAATTCTCCTATGAAAGAAAAGAATTTCGAAAGTGATGTCATGTATTGTATTGTATTTGTATTGTATTTTCGGATGACCACTGTACTTATTAAACGAAAATCATACGATCTGGTATCGTCCGAGAAAAAGTATGGCGCTTGTCCCTTCGGATATGTCGCACAAATTGTGATTGGCTCTCGAAAGCTGTGTACTAACGATTCGATTATCGGACGATCGGTCCTCGTGCGAACATTTTTGTACAATACTCTTATAGTGTGTCCGGGGCATTAGATGGTGGAAACAAACAATTTAACACTAACAGTGTGCTTACAGTGATCAGCTTTGATTTATGTAAAAACCTTTATCCCAAAAGAAATAAAAACTGTCTGATGTAACCAATTATAAAGTGTGAGCTGGAGTTTGGTTTCAATATTTTGGCTATACCTTCTAGCAGGCCCCCCTCCTCCCTCCAGACTGACAATGCTGCTCTCCAAAGGTGTCTCTGTTGCTCCTTCATCCAGGGTGGGGGCACTATAAAACACGAGGTGTGTAACTGGCCATATCACCAGGTAAAAAATAGGGGAAAAAAGCCTAAAAAAAGAAATGCAGCCCCCAATGTAATAATTGCTAAGCTGCAATATATTACATTTTTGATTTGGGGTGTAATCCCACTAGACAGGAGTATGGAAGGTATGACAGCAGGCATTATGTGCAGGAAAGGGCATGGAGCGTATGGCAGCAGGCAGTATGTGCAACTGAAGAGTTTGGAGGGTATGACAGTGGGTAGTATGTGCAGTAGAGGATTTCAAAGGGTATGACAGTGGTCAGTATGTGCAGGAGAGAAGCACAGAGTATGACAGTGGGCAGTATGTGCAGGAGAGAAGCACAGAGAGGATGACAGTGGGCAGTATGTGCAGGAGAGAAGCACAGAGAGGATGACAGTGGGCAGTATGTGCAGGAGAGAAGCACAGAGAGGATGACAGTGGGCAGTATGTGCAGGAGAGAAGCACAGAGAGGATGACAGTGGGCAGCATGTGGAGGAGAGAAGCACAGAGAGGATGACAGTGGGCAGCATGTGGAGGAGAGAAGCACAGAGAGGATGACAGTGGGCAGTATGTGCAGGAGAGAAGCACAGAGAGGATTACAGTGGGCAGTATGTGCAGGAGAGAAGCACAGAGAGGATGACAGTGGGCAGCATGTGCAGGAGAGAAGCACAGAGAGTATGACAGTGGGTAGTATGTGCAGTAGAGGATTTCAAAGGGTATGACAGTGGGCAGTATGTGCAGGAGAGAAGCACAGAGAGTATGACAGTGAGCAGTATGTGCAGGAGAGAAGCACAGAGAGTATGACAGTGGGCAGTATGTGCAGGAGAGAAGCACAGAGAGTATGACAGTGGGCAGTATGTGCAGGAGAGAAGCACAGAGAGTATGACAGTGGGCAGTATGTGCAGGAGAGAAGCACAGAGAGTATGAGAGTGGGCAGTATGTGCAGGAGAGAAGCACAGAGAGGATGACAGTGGGCAGTATGTGCAGGAGAGAAGCACAGGGAGTATGACAGTGGGCAGTGCTTAAGGACACAGCTAATCACAGAACTCCCAGAACTAGCAGACCGCACTGTAGCCATTTTTTGGCTATAGCCCAGTTGGAAAGTGGTTGGGCAACAACTATGTGGCAAATGCGCATTAAATGTAAAGTTATACACTTGCGAGCTAAAAACATGCATCATGCATACTAGGAGAACACCTGGGTAAGTCATTGTGGAGAGGGTTCTGGGTGTTCTGGCAGATCATAGACTTAATAAAAGCATGCAATGCCAAGCTGCAGTTTCTAAAGCTAGCAAAGTACTTTCTTGTATTAAAAGAGGTATAGACCCCAAAAGGAGAGAAATAATTTTGCCCCTGTAATTAGTAATACCTTGTCTGGAATATGCAGTTCAGTTTTAGGTACTGGTTCACAAAAAAGGATATTGAAGAACTGGAGAAAGCAGAGAAGGGAAACCAAAAAAGAAGAATTGAGGAGCTCAGCTATTAGGAAAGATTAGCTGAACTAAATGTATTGTCTCTTGAAAAGACAATTATGGGAGATATGATCTCCATAAAGGTGGTCCATATAGTAAACTTGATGTAAAGTTATTCACTTTAGTTTATCACAAAGGACAATGGGACACTCTGTAGGTGTGGAGGAAAAATATACTTACCTCCATATACCGAAAGGCTTCTTCACAGTATGAGCTGTGAAAATGTGGAACAGGCTCCCTCAAGAACGAATACTGACCAGTTCAGTAGCTTGTTTATAAAAGAGCCGGATGCATTCCTAAATGCAAAAAATATAACTGGATACTATCATTTATAGGTAAGAACACCAGAGATTGTGGATCCTGGAAATATCTGATTTCCTTCTAGGGATCAAGAAGGAATTTATTTTTCCCCTTCTGGAGCAAATTGGGGTTTTTTGCTTTCCTCTGAATTAACTCTAGGTATAGATTCTGTTATCGGGAGGGTTATTTATTTATTTTTCTGCTGGTTGAACTGGATGGACTTGCATCTATAGCACCTTCCTAGTTAATGAAGGCTGTTAGGAAAATTTATTATAGCTACTCTGTAATCAGTGGAGCAGGGATTGATTACTCTGGCTTGCTCAGTGTATCACAGGCTGCTGCTCTGATTGCTTTCCCCAGCCAATCCCCAGGGAAGTGTGTACCCAGTAGGTGGTTAGAAAGCCCATAAATAGTCTAACGCCTGAGGCAGGGGGTGAGGTGTTCCTGGGTTCAGTCCTGCTGGAGGACTGTTCCTGGGACAGGATTGATGAAGGTGCCATTCAGAAGACAACGAGGACCCAGCTGGAGCTTAAGCTGGGGGGCCTATTTGCTAAGTTTGGGGGGGAAAGATTGTCCAGCTGTCCAGTGGTAGTGTGTCTGTGTCTCCCTCATTGAAGAATGCTTGGTGGATATCAGGAGGCAACCACTGATCCTACGTTACTGTGAGTAAACAATCTGAGTGCAGGGCCTTAGTGTCTGTGTAGCTCTATTTCTGGAAAGAATAATCACCTGGTAGCACCAGAGAGTCATGTGGGACTTTTTGAGCAGCTTAGAGAAACAGAGAAGAGTCCTCAAAGAGTTCAGTTCTGCAGTTGGGGTATCCCATGCACTCTTCACCCCATCCAAGTTCAACTTTCCAATATAGCATTAAACAGACACCCCTAGACTGCTCTATTTGAGCCAGTGAAAGAGGAAACAATGCTGTGTGCCTGGCTGTGTGTACACTAATCTGGGGAAAAGTATCATGTTCACCAGCAGCTTCTTAGGGGGTGCGCTACATGCCATTTTTCAACATAACTATGCAACTATGTCAAATTTAATCTGACCTGGATCACAATGAGCTACAGTTACTGACAAACTCGATGCTTGTATTTTATATCCGTTTAACTATGAAAAGATGAAAACTTTTCTTACTTATTCTTGCTGTGGCTGCAACTGAAACCATCCATTCTGTCTCCTCTTGACCCCCTAAATACCCAAAAGGGCTGAAGCTCTATTTTGTGGAAGAGAACTCTCTATATTCTGTCTCAGAATTTGGGCTTGGTCTGTGTTATGTCTACACGTTTAGCCCTGTGTTTGCTTTGACATTGTGGTGCTAGAGTTGCCAATCTGCCCAAGACCTGATGGGCAGAATGTTTAAAGCCCAACTCTGGGCAAAAAAAGTTTTTTCATGCAGTGGGCTGTGCCCATGCTTCATGGCTTAATTGCGAAGCGACCAGAAAGCTTATACTCACCTGATCCTCCAATACAGCATCAAATGGAGCTCCCCTACAATCCAGTGGTGGAATGTTACTGAAGTCCTCACGTCCAGAGTGGGCCTATGGGCTTAATGATGTCAGGAACAGTCCACCACACAAGACCGCGCAGGTGCAGGCACTGGTCTTGTACGGGGAGGATCAGGTAGGTATATCTCCCTTCTCCAATTCCCTAGACAAAAACGAGCAGTTAACCCTTGGAGTGAGGGCACAGCCCAACTGCAAGTGAAAATATTTTTTGCCCTAACTTGGGCTTTAAAGCTGGCTGGTATTCACAAGCCCTTCCAAAAAGGAGTGATGGACTTCACTACAGAACTGCTTCCAAGTTAATAGTTCAATACACTAAGGGGCATATTTATAAAGTAGTGAATATGACTTGAAGTGAATCAATCTGACATTTAAAACAAATGGCACTTTAAAAAAAATGGCTCACTTACTGTCCTGCACCTACTTGGTAGAAAATAAACCTACTTTGTGTCTGCATAATTTTTGGCTATTCTACCTGGAAATGTTAAACTTACATTTTACTGCAAAATTTTTCTGATGCGTCTCTAGGACAGAACACTAACTTTCAGTATAAAAAGCTGCTTTGTACCTATACCTTCTTCTTCAATATGCTCATCGAACTCTGTTGCTGGTCAGTTTGTTTATTAACCACTTATGCTTCAGAAGGTTTTACCTCCTCCATGACTGGGCCATTTTTTCTATTTGGCACTGTGCTACTTTAACTGGCAATTGTGTGGTCATGCAGCAATGTATGCAAATGAAATTTATATCTTGTTTTCACATAAATAGAGCTTTCTTTTGGTGGTATTTGATCACCACTGGGTTTTTTTTTTTAATTAAACAAAAAATTACAGACAATTTTGAAAAAGCGAAATTTTCTACTTCGTTATAAAACATATCTAAAAAAAAAAATACATTTCTTTGTAAATTTAGGCCAAAATGTATTCTGCTACATGTCTTTAGTTAAAAAAAAAATCCCAGTACGTATATATTGATTGGTTTGTGTGAAAGTTATAGCATTTACAAACTATGGCATATACAGGGGTTAGACAAAAAATGGAAACACTACACGATTTGTAGGTGTGTCTTCACAGGACTGAGATTGAGCATTGCACTTTTGCAGCAGTTGTTTTCTTATTCCGTGCCACACTCCTGCATAATGTCCTTTTGTCTCTTTCAGTCAGTTGATCATGTCAACCGGGTTTATGTGACATTTTCACAGAAACTGTATACGCCGTCATAACCTTTGATATTGTACCTTGCAACACAACAAATAAATATTGTCAACTTAGAGACACCAGCTAAGCCAGCACCAACAATTCGCCCTATTTGAAACTCCGTAAGCTCTGATACGACTCCATATAACTAGCAGCGCACGCAGTGAATGACAAAAGTGAGGCTTCCCACCTGTTAGCTAGTGGTCTCATCACACAGTGGAAGCAAAAGTGTTGCATCATTTCTGCTTTCAATGTAAATCATGTAGCATTTTATTTTAATTTTTTTTTGTCTAACCCCTGTATCTTTGAAAGTTGACCAACCCTGGTGTACTGACTGCTTATCTCATTTCTTGAGACCCAAAAGCACCAGAACAGTACAATTACCACTAAAAATATCCCTTTTTGGAAAGTAGACAGTCTGAGGTTTTTAGTAAGAGGCATGGCAAGTTTTTTTTTAAAGTTGTCATTTTTGTTTTTAACATACTATCACCAGTTAAGTACAGGTGTGAATATGAATAGGGACACTAACTGGTGACGTATGTAAAGCATATAAAAAAATGTAATACATTTTTTTCTATACTTTCAGTTCAGTGTCTCCTTAGTAACACTGTACTACTCGTGAGGACATCACTTTGATTGCTGTTATAGCGAAGTTCAGTGTAACTACAATGTTTTGAAAGGCCATGAATGGCCTGTAATTTTACTATTGTGGCCTGTGATTGGCCCACAGCTATCACATGGTACAGGGTGCTGAGACTGGCCCAAGTACCATTAGATAGCTGTGGGCCAATCACAGGCCACAATAGGAGACACAGTTGTTATGAATGGAATTACTTAACAGCTTTGTTGACATTTTGATCACGCAGCCATCACATGAACCCATGGACGATCAAAGTGGCCAGGGACCAGCGACTGCAATGGATACAACGGTTACGTGAGCAATGGTACAATACTTATAATGCGGGCAGGCTGCAGCTGCAGGCTATGTATTGCGGATAGTCAGCAACTGGTTAAAGCCATATTATACCCAAAAGCAAACATTTATTATACTGCAGCTTACCAATTCTTGGATGTGATGGCTATATTTTCCTTTAGATTTTTTTTTTTTTCTATTTGCACCTAGTTATCTAGCCAGTAAGGCTGCATTCACACTTGAGTGTTTTGTAGCTTGAAGCTACAAAAAAGCTCAAACACAAATCAATCATTCTCTGTGGTGCCTTTTCACACCTCATGTGACAACAGACACCATAGAGAACAATTGCTTTTTTTTAGCCTTTTTGGTACTGATGCAGGCCATAGATGGGTCGAAAATCGGCCGATTTTTCTTTAAAAAAATGAAAAATCGGTCATTCAAGCGGCCGACGTTACCAGCAATGGTAAAAAAAAAACAAAAAAAAAACCAGACGATTTTCATCCCGTCTACTGCTGGCAAAAAGTGTCCCTGCAGAGAGCTCCGCTATTTCTTTGACAGTTCCTTGACATTTATAGCGGCTGCAACAATGTATCTATTTGTATCCATTTAGGATACAGATGTTTTTATTTGGAAACAAATAGATACATTGTTGCAGCCGCTATAAATGTCAAGGAACTGTCAAAGAAATAGCGGAGCTCTCTGCAGGGACACTTTTTGCCGGCTGTAGACGGGATGAAAATCGGCCAATTTTTTTTTACCGTTGCTGGTAACGTCGGCCGCTTGAACGACCGATTTTTTGTTTTTTTAAAAGAAAAATCGGACGATTTTCGACCCATAATAAAATCGGCCGATTTTCGGATCGTTAGTGGGCTAATTGTTCGGCCCTTTTTAGGTATTTTGGCAGATTTTATCGGTAAATTTGGAAAAAAAAAAAAGGCCGATTTTCACGGCAATTATTGGCAAATCGGGGGGGGAGGAGGAGGACCTAGAAGAAGAGGATGAAGAAGAGGATGAAGAAGAAGAGAAATTCCAGTCCGGCAAAAAGTGTCCCTGCAGAGAGCTCCGCTATTTCTTTGACAGTTCCTTGACATTTATAGCGGTTGCAACAATGTATCCATTTGTTTCCAAATAAAACCATCTGTATCCTAAATGGATACAAATAGATACATTGTTGCAACCGCTATAAATGTCAAAGAAATAGCGGAGCTCTCTGCAGGGACACTTTTTGCTGACTGTAGACAGGATGAAAATCAGCCATTTTTTTTTTTACCGTTGATGGTAAGGTCAGATGCTTGAACGACCAATTTTTTTCTTTTTTTTAAAGAAAAATCGGCCGGTTTTCTCCCCATCTATGGCCTGCATTATATCACACACACCACCATTGGCGGCTACAGATGTTCATCGGCACCCAGCAATCGCCAAGTATCACAGACAGGGAAGAGACCTGTGTGTAAACAACACAGGTCTCTCCTCTCCTGCTAGCAGTAACATGCTGCTCTATATTTCTCTGCACAGCAGAGAATGACACATCAGTATATTTCCCTTGTAAAACACACAGTACACAGTTGTGTCATTAGTACAGTGTCAGTGCTTTTTGTTAGCACTGATCACTGTATTAGTGTCATTTGGATGTCAGGGACACATAATTTGTTCTTCCCCCCCCCATGTCAGAATGCCTGCCGCAGTCCCACTATAAGTCATTGATCACTACCATTACTAGTATAAAGAACAAAAGAATTCCGGTATATGTACACACCGGCATTTGTAGACGCTATAACTTTCAATTTACATGCATTGGGATTTTTTTTTTTTTTTTAAAGCATACATGTAGCAGAACACAGTTTGGCCTATTTTTATTTTTTTAACGGGTATGATTTACAGTAAAAAGTCAAAAATATTTTCTTTCCAGAATCATTGGGGTTTTTTTGTTTATAGCACAAAAATAAAATCACAGAGGTGATCAAATACCACCAAAATAAAGCTCTATTTGTGGGGGGTGGGGAACATAAATTTCATTTGGGTGCAGCATTGCATGACCGTGCAATTGTCAGCTAAAGTAACACAGCGTCGCAAAAAATGGCCTGGTCAGGAAGGGAGGTAAATCCACTGGAGGGCAAGTGGTCAAATACCACTTCAATAATGTTTTATAAACATTTTTAACCTGAGTTTTCTTTTGGAAAACTGTTCAAAATAATTGGGTTTGATTTAATAATAAAAAAAAAATAAATAATAGAGGAGGTCTCTGTTCTGTCACCCTAGGGGGCAAAGTACATGTAGTACTTTGTTTTATGTTCCCAAGAGCTTTGTAAGCCTAGCTTTGAGGATGCTTGGAGCTAAAAAGCCTAAAAAGCCCTGATCTCATAGCTAAGCTTAAGCTACACACACACACACTTTTTCCCCCCCATTCAACCAAAATTATATCTAAAAAGGTGCTATTGACCTGAAATTTGCATCACATATTGCCAAGAATCCATACATACAAAGAAACGAAAACAAATCAGTTGAAAAATTCAGTTATGTGTAATAAAACAATTGAGTGCTGCCGTGATACTTTTTTTATTTGCACTCACATACAATTTTAGTGCAAATAAAAAAATTATCACATCAGCACTCAATTGTTTCTGTCACAAGTGCACTAATACAGCTACAATCACCTCAAGCAGTTGTATAATAAAAAGGAATGACACAGGGGAAAAAAAAAAAAAAAAAGTATTGAACACATGAAGAAAGGAAGGCGCAAAAAAGGCATTGAAAGTCAAGACACCAGCTGAAATCTATCAGTAATTATAAAGTCCCTTGTCAGTGCAAATTAACATCAACTGGTTCAGTCTCAACTTATGGCTTATAAAAAGGTGTCATTACCAAGGTGTGACAAGAAACATCTCATGATGGGTAAAAGCAAAGAGCTCTCCCAAGACCTTTGCAACCTTATTGTTGCAAAACATACTGATGGCATTGGTTACAGAAGGATTTCTAAACTTCTAAATGTTCCAGTGAGCACTGTTGGGGCCATAATCCAGAAGTGGAAAAAAAAAAACATTTTACCAAAAACCGGCTGTCAGGGCGCGAGTGTTCTGCAGCATCGCGCCGGCGGGCGACGGGACCTGGACGACCACGGCTGCGGTGATGGCCGCGCATGCGCACTCGCGGACACGAGCCTGGCACCAATGACAGTGCAGGGCGGGCTATTTAAACAGAACAGAGGTATGTCAAAATTGCCATTTGGTCTTACCTGCTCTGTTCCTGATCCTGTGATTATTCCGTTGCTGACCTCTGCATTGTACCTGACTAACCCCTGGCTTGCCTGACCAGCCTTCTGCCTGATCCTTTGTACCGCGCTGCCCGCTAATTGCTGAACCTGGCTTGTGACTCCGACCATTCTCCGCTTACTCCTCTGGTACCTCGCTGCCCGCACATTGCGGACCTGGCCTGCCTGACTACACCTCACGCTACCCAGACGATCCATCCATCCATCCTGCACAGATTGCTCCCTGTCAGTAAGTCTGCCAGCCTCTTCACATCAGACTCCGTTTCTCGCACACCTCTGACGGTGCTCTCTACCACTGCCGGACATACTCAGGGGTTGCGACCTGGTCTCAGCCTGCGCCAAGTCCATCCCCACCATCAGGGGCCCTGGTGAATAGCAGATTGGGACTTAGACCCTGCGCCCTGAGGAACTCCGCGCTGTGGGCTGCTAGAGACACCGCCGGGCGGATCATAACACCGGCCACGACCAGGTGCTCCTCGCAAGATTTCTGACAGAGGAATGAAAAGATTTGTCAGAAGAGATGTCCAAGAGCCAAAAGGACCACTTGGAGAAGTTCAGAAAGACCTGGAATTAGCAGGAACAAATGTTTCAAAGAAAACAATAAGTAATGCACTTAACCACCATGGCCTGTATGCAAGCTCACCACACAAGACTCCACTGCTGAAGAAAAAGCATGTTGAAGCTTGTTTTAGACAAGCCTGTGATCTACTGGGAGAATAGTCAGATGAGACCAAAATTGAGCTCTTTCGATGCCATAGTACACACCATGGTTGGAGGTCAAATGGCACTGCACATCACTGCAAAAACACCCTACCAACAGTGAAGTTTGGATATGGGAACATCATGGTGTGGGGCTGTTTTTCAGTATACGGTACTGGCAAACTTTGACATGGAAGGAAGGATGAAAGGAAAAATGTACCAAGACATTCTTGATAAAAATCTGATGCCATCGATCCGGATGATTAAGATAACACAAGAGTGGACATTTCAGCAAGACAATGATCCCAAACACAAAGCCAAGAAAACACAATTGGTTTCAAAGCAAGAAAATAAAGCTGCTAGAATGGCCCAGCCAAGCACCCAAGTTGAATCCAATAGAAAATCTAAGGAAAGAACTAAAGACCAGAGTTCATAGAAGAGGCTGATAGAACCTTCAAGATTTGAAGACTGTGTGTAAGCATTTGCCAAAATCACACCTGAGCAATGCATGTGACTAGTTTCTACATACTGGAGGCATCTTGAAGCGGTCATTACCAACAAAGGATTTTGCAAGAAGTATTAAATAAACTTCAGTTAGCGTGTTCAATACTTTTTCCCGTGTCATTCCATTTTATTACACATACTTTTTAAACTTATTTCTTTTGGTTTCTATGTATGTATGGATTTGCATGGGTTGCTACAGATATGTGGTGAAAATGTAATGTCAATAGCACCTTTAGAAACCTATTTACCTAGAAAAATGGTGATGTGTTCAATACTTATTTTACCGTGTATATATCCCCACCATACATTTAATGTGGATGGTGGAATCCCTCCTGCTGTGCTGTTGTGTTTCCACAGTGGGGAGACTTTTCTGCTGTCAGAATGCACTGATCCTGGAACACACTCAGACTGGTTATACAGAAGTCAAATCTGTAAATCAACTTCTGTACAACAAGGCTGCCCATACATAAATCAAAGTTTAGCCAGTTCACGCTGAACCATCCAAATTTCAATTCATGTATGGCCACCCTCAATAAGCATGTAGGAACATAGGACAAAGTAAAAAAAAAAAAAATGTGGGTTCTTCAGAAAGACAAAAACCAAACAAAGCTAAAAAAAAAACAAAAAACCACACACTACAACTGCACGTTTATTTTATTATTTTAACAGTATAGGCATTACAAAATTTCTGAAACATCTACAAAATTGTAGCACTTTACATTTCTTTACATACATTTAAAAGCAAAAATCTTTACACAAACCAGTTCTTTGCCTACTAGCCCAAATATGGTTGTATAATAACTATGGCAAAGCATACAAGGTTTCATTCTATGAATTAGTAAATTCATAAAAAGCATAAGGAGAGTATAATTTGAAATATCCATAATTACAAGAATCGCTCCTGGGAGTTTCCCATGTGTATGGATTCTCAGATCACACAAAAGTAGCAGTAAACATTACTGCTAAAAATGAAAGCATGTTTTACAACAAACGGACAGTCTTCCCAGTCACAGTCAGGTAATCTTCATCGGCCAAAGCATGTAGAGCTTCATCAAACATGTCTTTTGTGATTGCCTGTAATGATAACACAGGTTAAGTGATTAATCATTATGAAAACTTGCACAGTAAACAAGTGGTGGAGGAAAAGATTTGGTACTCTACACCGGTAATCGCACACACATTTCACTTACACCTTTGTTTTAAACTACAAAGTATTGTACTCTCAAAAAAACAAAAACAAAAAGCTGCTTCTAGAAGAGCTTAGCATTTTGCCTGTAGAAGTGGCTAATGTTATCAGATGTATCCATGCAAATTAGGACATTTAGAGGCAGGGAAATAAAAAAAAAAAAAAAAAACCTTCCGTTTTGCATCTGAGAGCAGTTTTCTGGCAGGGGAAATAATAAAAAAAAAATGCTACGACTTACCTAACACGCTACTACAAAAAAAGAAAGAAAAAAACCTGCTCAAAATTTGCATTTTATGCCAACAGCACTGGCTCTTTTTTAATCCAGTGTGCATGAACCCTTATACTTACCTGCTCTGTGCAATGGAACTATACAGAACAGACATGAACCTCCTCTACTCGGGTCCCTCACCAGCGCCCCTGGCTCCTCCCCTCCACCAAGTGCCCCATGGAAAGCCTCCCTGTCTTATAGGCACTCGTGTGGTACTTTTGAGCCTGTCTGCATCTACTGACTTCTGAGCCCCGTCCTCTCGTCACTGGCTTCGATTGACAGCAGCAGGAACCAGTGAGAGCAGGAAGTGAAGGGAGAGAAAAGCTGCAGACAGGCACAGCATTGGATGGAGTGAGGATTCAGGCAAGGGGGGGAGGGAACAAGAAATGCATAAACATAAAAAAAATGTTTTAGGTTTTATAACCACTTTAATTAGACAGGACAGAAACCCTTCATCAACCTTAAGGCTATCTGGCCAGCTTTGTGTGAAGGAGCTTGTTCAGAAGTTGCAAGAACATCAATTTTTAACCACTTGACCTCCAGAGGATTTACCCCCCTTAATGACCAGGCCTCTTTTTGCTACTCGGCGCTACACTAATTCAACTGATAATTGCGCGGTCATGCAATGCTGCACCCAAACAAAATTTACGTCCTTTTTTCACACAAAATAGAGCTGTCTTTCGGTGGTATTTGATCACCTGTGTGCTTTTTATTTTTCACGCTATAAACAAAAAAAGGCCAAAAAGTTTGAAGAAAAACAATATTTTTTACTTTCGGCTATAAAAAAATATATAGTAAACTCAAAGTTGGTTATAAATTTAGGCCAAAATTTATTCTGCTACATGTTTTTGGTAAAAAAAATCCCAATAAGTGTATATTGATTGCTTTGTGTGAAAGTTATAGCGTCTACAAACTATGGTATAGATACTGCAATTTACGCTATTTTTTGCTATACAGCGCTGCGCTAGTTTAATGGACAATTGCGCGGTCATGCAATAGGGTACATAAATGAAATTTACATCCTTTTTTTCCCACAAATTGAGCTTTCTTTCAGTGGTATTTGATCGCCTGTGCGGTTTTTATTTTTTGCGCTATAAAAAAAGAAAATGCTGACAATTTTGAGGAAAAAAAAATATTTTGTACTTTTTGCTATAAAACATGTCCAGTAAAAAAAAAAAAAAAAAAAATTTAAAATCAAATTTAGTCATAAATTTCTGCCAAAATGCATTCTGCGACATGTCTTTGCTAAAAAATATGTGTAAATTAATTGGTTTATGTGAAAGTTATAGCGTTTACAAATGGCAGGAAAGATACTGGGATTTTTAGGTTTTTTTTAATACTAATAATGGCGGCGATCAGCGACTTATGGCGGGACTGCGGTGAACATTCTGACATTGGGGGGTACTGACTTGGGGTCACTGACATCCCCAGTGACACCAATACAGTGATCAGTGCAAAAAAACAAAAAACAAAACACGGACACTGTACTAATGGCACTGGGGAGGAAGGGGTTAAGTTTATTTTTCAGGGAAAGGGTTAACTGTGTGAGGGGAGTGTTTTACTAGGGGGCGGGGGTGTGTACTGCATGGAGGACACCGCTGATCGGGAGAGAGAAACTCTTCTGTCCCGATCAGCTTGTCCTGGAGCTGTCAGGGAACTGACAGAAAGCACAGTTACTGCAGCTGTGCTCTGTCAGCGATTGCCGCCGATCTCCGGGACATAGCCGGCAACGACCCGCTGTGACCCGGCAACTGACATTCACGGCTGTGATCGGCGGGACAGGTAGGGGCGGCGCCGCGCCCCCTACCTGTTTACAAAACACAAGTTTTAAAAAGTGGTTTTGCCCAGCCGTGCCGCCCTGCCGCCGTATTTATACAGTGGCTGGGCGGCATGTGGTTAAAATGTTAAAGAAAAAGTTGGGGAAAAAAAACCCCACCACTGGTAGATAATTCAATCCTTGTTAAAACACTCAATGGTTTATTTACAGTACAATGCTTTAATGCATGAGATTATGCAACATACATCCTGAAAAACAAAATACACAGGGCATATGTTGTATAACTGACCCTCTTTCTACTCCAACAGCTCTTACTGGCAAATCCCTGGTGTCATTTTGACTTGTTCTGTAAGGGCAGCAGCCAAAAGGTGAAAAACAGAACTTCTAAACAGTGCCTAAACCACCGTTTCAATCCTATATTTAGGAATACAAGGTAACATTGTATTTACTCTTTTCCATTCATCCACAGGAAGGGGTGACCTTTGATTTGCAGATGGCATCTGCTAAAACAACCCTACAAATTACTTTTATAATGGATCCTATTTAACCCCTTATTAACTATAATTAGCCCCAATTATAATTTCTTCTAATTTTTTCATTAAATTCAAGAGCATACTTATAAAGCGGTGAATGTGACAAAAATCCACTCTAGATGCATCAAACACCAATATAAAAAATATATGCACCAAAAGATACACCCAAAAACAAACAAACATTCAGTGCAGGTGTAAAGTTCATCGCTTTATAAAAAATATACTCCTAAAAAGCCTCGTTCAGAGGTGTGGTAAAAGCAGGCCGTTGAGCCACAGTTTTATCACCCACCTAAACAAGGACAGGCTGCCACTAATGGCTGTACACATGTAAAAATTAAATACCATGCCACATTCAGAGGGCAGTACCACTGCAGGGGCAAGAGCTAGGACAGGATGACTTTTGCACCTCATAACCAATATTATACTTATCAATATTTTGGTTTAGGGGGATTGATCCTACTTGCCCATGGAGTTTAGGATTTAAATTTTCCTTATGTGACTATTGCCCACATATCCAAGTTCTATTCTGTTTCCTCTAGAAGAAAGTGTGAGTAATTAAACCAGAAGAATATCAGTTTTTCAAGTCCAGCTTGCAAAAGGAAAAAGAGGAGCCCTTGGCCTGTACCAGGAGAAACTGTTCGTACTTTGGAGAGCCTAGAAAAATAGCATTTGAGTTTTTATATGGTTAGCGGCTGCCTCTTTCCTTTTGCAAGTTGGAGATCTAAGAGTGGCCAGGGACAGATAGGAACCTACTTCCTGAGCCAGGGTTTCAGTGTTGCCTGTAGTAGAAGATTGGATTTTGTTCCCCATGATCAGTTTTTCAACCTTGATAACTATGCAAAGCAGGTGGTAAAAAAACAAACAAAAAAAAAAAACAGCAGAATTGCAACAGATCATGCAACTGGAAAACAACTTACCGAATCAGACTGTGCCCGAAGATCCTCAAACAGCTGTTGATATTTCAAAGCAGGCGTTTTGCCCTTAGATTGAATAAGTTTTTTCAAAGCCTGAGCCAATTCCTCTTTACGCTTACGGGCTGTGGCACTCATTCCTTGAAAAAAAAAAAAGATAGGAAAAGTTGGCAATTAAAAACTATATTGAACATAGGCATAACTTCCCTAACCTTCATTAGAGGAGTCTGTGCACAGCACAGAGCAATGCTGGATGCTTTAGGCTATGACTACATGAGCCGTGTTCAAATGCAGACACTGAAAAAGATCATGAAGAACTGGCTGGCCAAATGTTAGGTGCTTGAAAAGAAAAGAAGAGCAATCCCTTTTAGTTTTCTGCTACACAATTTCAGCAGTGTGGTCATGGAAGATGTTGCATAACATTATTGCCTCCACAGAGGGCAGAACAAGACATGGGGAAACAGTAACGTTCACTCTCAAAATGTTGACTTAAAACAAACCTATAGTATCAATAGGTGCGTTTGACATGTGTTTAGCGTGAATTTTAACTCTCCCCCAAACACCCTATGTGCATTTTTGGTGTGTGACACGCATTAAAACTGCACCACAGACACCAATATACTATTAATGCACCCCAACCACTTCACTAACGCATACGCGGTGTGTTTTCATAAACTTGAATGAAAGGAGATTAAAGGCTTCACTTCCTTCAAGCTCCACATGAAGCTTCAATTTTGAAGCGAAGCAATGTTAACACTTCATGGTTTGATAATGTGAAAGGCACAAGGTGTTGTCCATTTTATCATTTGCATAGGAGTTTGAGGAGCATTAAAAAATGCCCCTCAAACTCCTGTTTTCAATGCCAGTGTGAGCAAGGCCTAATAAGGGAATAAACGCTATAGGGAAACAACAACACTATTGATTGTCCTCTGCCAGACTTTTAGGGCACAGCTAACGGAGGTTCCTCTTTAATTTTAAGAACAGCAACCCATTTACCTGTGGTAAGGATAGAAATATCTACAATTCCAGTCCTAGGATCTGTGGCAGACTGCTTTAATGCCTCACGATGAAGACGTTTGGCTTCTTCTACATCAATGGTCTCAACTTTACTAGAAAATCGCACTTTAGCATGAGCTTCAGAAAGACGGATTAAAGACTCCAACTGCCTGGGATAAGCTGAAACCATGCCACGGCCACTGCCAATTTTCCTCATATCCACATAGGCCTGAAATTAAAAAACAAAAAAATAAGTTACTAAAATGTGACAAAATTCCAAAGCGGTTGCTTAGGTCACATCTCCCAGCCTCTCAAATTTAACACCACTTTCTCCCCATTCCAAGACAGATACGTTGTTGGTTTGGGGGTACACCAACACCTTTTGAGTGGGATTGCACTTAATACTTTTAAAGAACAAATGTTATATCTATGTAATTCCAACTTTAAATATATAATAATGCGTTTTGGTTTAAAACCTGCAGGTTGACCTTCAACAGTACATAGAGCATTGTTGGTAACAATTTGTCACCACGCTGGGTATTCTGGTGTGGTTTGCATTAGCCTTTCCAATTAGATTGAGAACATGCTTTCTGCCTAAAATTTTACCTCAATAAGAGCTTGGCTTGCTTCCTCACTAAGCCGAGGATGCACATAGCTTCGGGCATATGCAATATAATCCTTTAACACTGCCATGTCCAATTGTTCTTCATTTAACTGCTCTTCACTCTGATAGTACAAGGCAACAAGATGGTGAGCCAGGCGTCTGTCATATGTCTCATCTTGAGGGTCCAACATCAAAAATATCAGGTCGAATCTTGAAAGGAAAGGGTGTGAAAAGATTAATCAAGTTTTAAACCTCCTGCAGACCGAAAACAGAACAATATTCCTTCAGCATGATGCTTAGGTTCTATTTTGGAACTATGTTCAGAGACTATTCTGTCACCAATAGCACTGGTATCATTAAAGATCAAAAACCACTGGAACTGGTTCAAAATTGTGTGATCACCATAATAGCCAATCATATTTTATTTTATGAAATTAACCTTTATACTAGGCTATCAAATTTGCTTTAGTGAGAAACTGACAGCTCAAGCCGGCAAGATGCAACCCATAATTGTAAAATACAAAACTAAAAGAATTTTAGTGGTTTTGAGAGGTTGTTCCCCACTGGCAATAAGCAGTGCTGGTGCAGAATCAATGACAAGCTATTCACAGAGCCAAAAATATCACATAGCCTAGCACAGGTTGCAACTTTTGGGAAGAATTAATTATTCCAAGATCTGTGTTGGGATACGTATAGTGAGGGTAGGGCTTGTTAATTTTTCAGGGGTACAGTCAGTCAAAATATTTAAGTAGCATACCTGGACAACAGTGTGTGAGGAAGCTGAATGTTCTCAATGGTTGTTTTCTTTGGATTCCACTGAGATTCTACAGGATTTGCAGCAGCTAGGACAGATGTGCGTGCATTCAGCTGACAGATAATTCCAGCCTTTATACAATAAATAAATAAAAAGTCAAAAGAGGCTAGGGAAAACATGAATGAAATCCTACGAGATAAAATACTGGGTGATGGGATCCCTTATAAAAAAATCCCACCCATTGCTGGTGTGCTGTAGTAAGCCAGGCGCTAATCCAGGCACAACATGTCTCTCCCCCCCCAACTTTATTGCAATGCACACCACTGGTGGTGTAAACTATCTTGACAGGGAACAAAGCTTCTGCACATCTGGTGTAATGAGATTTTAGATTCTATAACACACACCTTATTTTGTATGCTATTATTTTAATATAAACTTGATGTAAAAAAAAAAAAAAACAAACAACAACAACAACAACATGTACAGCCCACCAAAATCTACAGAAACTTCTATTCTAGTATGCAATTTAGCTAGAAAAGATCATGGTCATTATGTACCTTTGCAATGGAAAGGGTCTGTTGTTCCATAACTTCATGTAACACAGATCTGGTGCTCTCATTCATTTTGTCAAATTCATCAATACAGCAGATGCCGTTGTCACTTAACACAAGAGCTCCAGTTTGAAGAACCAGTTGTCTTGTTTCTGGGTCCTTTGTCACATAAGCTGTTAAACCAACAGCACTAGATCCCTTCCCAGAAGTGTACTGGCCTCTAGGGACAAGGTTGTAGACATACTGGAGAAGCTGAGATTTACTTGTACCAGGATCACCACACAAAAGGATATTAACTTCGGCTCTGAATTTGCCTCTTCCAGTATGACTGAAGTCCTTCCGTGTACCACCAAACAGCTGCAGAAGAATACCCTGTAAAGACATCAATAACTCATTTACAAAACTGTCTGCCTTCAAGGATATTCAAATACTCAGTTTTGCAAACATATTAAACTTTATATGAATAAAATCTATTTTCTCTGCCAAGACAATTTTATCAAAGCACATCTAATCCCCACAAATCTAATATTGCACCTTAGCAAGCCTTAAATGTGGTGGCTGTATTTTTTTTTTTTTTTTCCCCATTCGGCCCCCCCCCCCCTTGCTTTCACCTGCCAAGAAAAGCACACTGTATACATAGGAGCAGCAACTCCCTCATCCTAACTACAAATGCCTTTCCAATAATCTACAGGAGCGTCGTTTGTAGTTCACATAAGATGACTGAGGAAGGCAGGTTTTATAATATAGTCCATAGGGTGTTATGACGACAGGTATGTGGCAACATGACATTGCGGTTTGGTTTAGATACAGGTTAAGATTTATATGCTAATAAGGCAAGTAATGCTATCTGTATGGAACCACAATGGCCAAATGGGAAGCAAACATACCTTCTTAATGTCTTCATGTTCATAAATACTTGGTGCTAAAGCTGAAGAAAGTCTTTCATAAATGTCAGGCTTAGAAGCAAGTCCCTTCAACATCTCAATACGCTCCTCTGTGAACATTTTCTGTTCTGTGTCCTCATCAATACCATGCAAGCGCTTGGAGTCAGTCTTTCGGTAATGGATTACATCAATGTGAGTTTTGTAAACTGATTTAACATTTCTAACTCTGGGATTTACTCGAATAGGAACTGCTCTGTAAATTCCTACAATGAAAAAAAAAAAAAAAGAAAATAAAAAAAGAAAATAGCATTTGCTACAAATAGGGGGAAAAATGCACCACAACATACAGTTTAGGGTACCTAGATACTGGAATGTTAAATATATGTAATGCATAGTGATGTGGTTCTTTAACACACTAGCCTACAGGGCACTTATACCCCCTTCCTGCGCAGGCCAATTTCCAGCTTTCAGCGCTGTTGCACTTTGAATGACAATTGCGCGGTCATGCAACACTGTACCCATATGAATTTTTATATATATATATATATATATATATATATATATATATATATATATATATATGTGTGGTATTTAATCACCTCTGGGTTTTTTTTTATTTTTTCTTAAACCAAAAACCACTGAAAAAAAAAAAAAAAAAAAAAACGTTTATTAGTATGGTATAAAATGTTGTAAATAAGTGATTTTTCTTCTTCACTGATGTGCGGTAATGAGGCTGCACTGATGGACACTGATAGGTGGCACTTGTAGGTGGCACTGATGAGCATTGACATGCGTCACTCATATATGGTACTGATTGGCAGCACTGACGGGCACTGTAAGGCGGCACTGATGCACACTGATGTGGCACTGAAATGTGGCACTGATGGGCACATGGCATGGATGAGCACTGAGAGCTGGCACTGATGGACACTGACAGGTGACGCTGCTGGGGCTACACAGATCATCAGGGCACACTGATCATCAGTGCTCTGATGATCTGTGTACATGTCCCCTCCGAGGAATGCCGATTACCGGCTCTCCTCTCCTCACGAGCTGTCAGCGTGACAGGTCGTGAGGAGAGAAATGCCGTTAACCGGCATTTCCCTGTTTACATGTGATCAGCTGTGATTGGACACAGCTGATCACATGACCGAGCCGACATCTTCGGCTCTTTCCGTGGATTGGTGATCCACTGTGCGCGCGCTTAGAATGGGAGGACGTCATATGACGTCCTCCCAGAACGAGAGAACCGCCTTGCATCCGTCATATTACTATATCGTGGGCGGGAGGCGGTTAATGGGATCGAATTTTACATAAATATAAAAAGGTGATTTCTAGCTACACATTTCAATTCTCAAGTAATAGGAACTGAATTTAGAGATAATCATCAGGAGTAAACAAACTCAACAGCATTATCTAGAACAGAATTAGAAATAGAAAATAGCCAAGGTAGTTTTAAGATAAAATATACCTGTCACATTCACCCTGTCTCCAGGTTGAACCTTGTCCACGAGGTCATTGTGAGCATACAAAATAATTGTATGAGGGGTCTGCCCAGCCGGCATATCTTCAGGAGACTCTTGCAGCTTGATCTAAAATAAATAACAGACTGGGTTTTAGTTTTGAAAGCCCTAATAGTAAATCCAAATTCACAGTGATCCAATATAGAATACATCCAACTTGGCATTGATGCAGAATTATCAGTTCAATGCACCTAAACATGGCAAAAATACACACGTAACCCTCTTTTGGGAATGCAATGTATTGGCAACACTAACACAGTTGCCGAAGTGTAGGTATGTTAAAGTTAAATATATTAGGGATTGGGGGGGGGGGTGGGTGGTTTCAAACAAACAAAATGAATAGCACTCTAGCTCAATAACACTCTGCATTGGTTGTGAAAGCACATCTGGCCCCTGTAGAAAAGAAAGCACATCTGGTTCTTGCTCCTTTGACAGAGGGTGCTAGCTACTATGCTTCTAATCCTAGCCCTTTTAGAGCGACAGGAAGGCACGGGGCAGGGTTCAGTAACTATGCCCTTCAGTCTGGCAGGCTGAAATATGCTGCAGCTGGATGGGGCTGAAAGCTGTACTTAGTGGTGCTAGCCCTATGCATTTAGGGTTGAACGCCTGGAATGCAGAATACCTGCATTCTGGGTATTCATCTCTGAATGCATAGGGTGCTAAAGACTAATTCTAAAAAGTCTGCACATCGTAGAGACCCCAGTGAGACTTCCTATGTCTCAGCAGGCGCAGGGGGCCACCCACATGCCTCAGCAGTAGAGTTAAGGGTTGCCAATTTGGGGGGGGGGGGGCACCAGAAGGGGGATTTTAGACACCAGAAGGGGGTCAACCCAGGTCAAATTTTTTTTTCCATTCTGGTTGCACCTAGTGACCTGATCCTGCAGGGGGGAGATTATCCAGTCCATTTATCTAATGGTCTGGCTGTGTCCTTTATGCCCTTGTAATGAACGCAAGAAGGAAAAAAAAAAAAATGTAATATAAAATCTTTACCCTTAAGTAAACACCCTTTAGTAAGCCAGCCCTATTCTGACACAGGTCAAGCAGAATGTTAGTTGAGGCATTTTGGCAGTTACATGTACTGTATATAAAGTTTTTACCATTGCCTTATGTTGTTGCAACTACAAAACTCTCCTCCTAACAATGCTACTAAAACCAAATATGCACTAAAAAGGCAATGTAGCAGAAGGATAGGAAAACTTAAAAACACACTCAAAAGTGAGAGCTTACCATTTGCTTATCTGAAAACATGGAACGATTATGTATCAAAGCCATGCTGTGTGTGGTGTTGCAATGCTTGCACACGGATGGTTCTGCAATACGGCCACGATCTACTTCCACTCTGGTGGTGAAAGCGCAGACCTGACATTTAAAGAAAGCTTCTTGCATCTCCGGTATAATCTGAGAAGTTCTGATGACCATTCCTCCAATTGTAATGAGCTGATCAATATCTAAACAACAAATTATAGTGCAGTCAAACCATTTATGAGGTCAGATTACACACAATAAGGATACAGAGCTGCAAGTCTTGTTGAAGGTTGTGTTTGAAGTTAGTATTTAGGGTTTATATGTTTTGTAATTTATTTGGGACTAAATGTTCCACATATTTGTATTCCCAGCCCATAAATGGAGCTCTAGGCTCTTTACATGTAGTGGATTAGTCTTAAAGCCTACATTCACGTTTCCTACTACTTTAAATATTTTGCTTGGGCCAACTTGAACCATACAAATGATTTCTTTTACTAAGTGATGTGACTATGGTGAGTGTGTATCATACGTTATAGAGCTCAATTAAAAACTCGCACCTAAAGTTAGTAGAGTGAGACATTCCCCCTAGCAATTCAGATAGGGCAAAATAAATATTTCTGTTCTCTGTGCCAAGTCCACAATGCTCCCTGAAGTCAATATCAAAAGCCTATTTTGTAAAATTAAAAGTACAGAAAGATTAGAACATCAGTTTTTTTTTTTTTAAAGAATGGAACAAGTTTTATTGCAATTTCCTTTTAGAACTAAAGCCTCCTTACCTTCTGGGTTAAGACTCCTCATGTTCCTGGTTTTAAGAGCATTATAAGGCCTAACTTGAATCTGATGCTCCAAGATAGAATCAGGGTAGCGCTCAAAAAAGAGCTGATTGACTGCCATGTCAAAAGTTGGAATAACTTCCTGTGCAGGGGAAAAAAAAAATCTTTTGAAAGGTCTAGACTACAACATATGCATAGTCATGCATAAAAAGAAGGTTTAATACAATGAGAAAGGGCATTAAGGTTACCTGTGGATAGCAGACCAGCTGCCTATACAGATCTTTGTCAAATGTCCTAAGATGGTCACAGTCAACATTCAAGAATGGCTCACCAACCACATTGATCTAAAATATCAAAAGGTTTTCAGTCAAGAAACCTATAAATTCATAGGTTAAGAACCTGCCTATATTATAAAAACACAACAGTGTCTACAGCAATAAAGTTGAGCAATGAAAGTTACATGGATATATGCAGTTTTCCTATGTTAATAATTAAGCTTTAGGAATAGATCATAACATACCTCTTCCAATCGCTGCATGTAAATTGGCTCATTCAAATCTAAACCAACATTGTCCTCCTCTTTGGCTGAGGGATCAATAAAACGTTGTATGAACCGCTACAACAGAAAAGATTGCAAAAATGTAAAAAAATTTAAAAAAATAATTAGGATTCTGTACTTACAAATAAATCACTCCATGACACTGTACTACACTACAGACAATCCATAATGCCATACACTACCACAATAGCTCCAGAAGCTCTACTTTCAAATTTTAGCTCCAAGTAATCATCCTTAAGTCTGACAACATATTCTACTCGTTTCCTACACCACCTCTGCCTTAAAAATGGGTAAAAAAAAATGCTTACCTGAAACTTCTCTCTGCAAGTGATAACATTGACATCTGTACCCCAGATAACCAATTTCTGTTCCATGGATTGTTCACTTGTAATCAGTTCTTCAGCAGCAGGCTGCAGGGATGACATTTTCAATTAATGTAACTAAAGAAATAGTCACTAAAATATAGTCAAGACAGCGGCCAAAGTCAACACCTCACCTGGTCAGAATGTAAATCCACTTGCTTCAGTTTTCGAGCAGACCCCAAATCAGGCCTTTGTCTGGCAGGGGTACCTCGGATGCCACTCCTTGGTGTGCCTTCCACTCTAGAACTTGGGGTTCCATATGTCAGGGGAGAGCTCAAGTCAAGTTCACTCTGAAGTGCTGCAAAAAATATAAAAAGTACAATGTTAACCAATAGACAACACACAGCATGCCACGTTTCTCTTCTGACATAAGACAACTTTCTATAGAAGCAGCTTTAAAATAGAACTATGGGAGTTCAGGGTCTGTCACAGACAGGTTGCCATTAAACCCTTTTGCTGCCAGGTCTGTATGTCGTACGAACCCGACAGCGGGTTTTTTTTTTAAAAAAAGTTCTTAAAAGCAAAAACGGAAGTGTTTTTTTTTCCCGGCCTCTAAACGCCCTAATGTGCATGGACATCTGTTTGTAAAAAAATGTGTCAAACTGACAGGCAGACTCCTGTCTGTCAGCTGGAAGCATCTGAGCGACTGTGCTGCCAGCCATTTGTTTCCACACACCGCCGGTACCAGCGCGCTGCAGGTCCATTCTGCTCCCCTTCTTTCTGTGACCTGAAAAGCGACTTGTATGACGTCACTTCCAGGTCACCTGTCACTTTCCCCGGCTAGCACAGCCAAGAACCATTGTATTGCAATGTGATCCGATCTGCATTGCAATACACTGAGTGGAGCCCAGACGAGACATGCATGGTCTTTTAGTGTGTTTTTTACAGAAATTTTGCATTTCCCAGACCTTTGCAGTAATATCACGTGGCATAAAAAAAATTGAAACTACCACGATTTTATTCTTTAGGGTTTATGCTTTCAGAAAATATATGTTTGGGGGTTTTTGTGTAATCTTCAGGCCTAAAAATGTTTTTTTTTAAATGTGTGCAAAAAAAAAAATGCAAAAACCGCTCTGGTAGCGAAAGTGTTAAACTTTTCTGTAACATACCAAAGAGCATTTTATTTTTTTAAAAAGTGAATTTGACATTAAACATTCACTGCAGATACATCTTCCTGGTGCATGTGTTTTTAATGACAGCTGATTGATTCACCATCAGTGGGTGTTTAATGAAAGTCTTCACTGCTTTATAAATAGCCCTCCCCAGATAATAGGCTACATTCACATGGACTAGCGCTGATGCGAATGACATTGGCAGGAAATCTACAATTACTACAACTGTTTCTGTCACCTGTGAGATTGTATCATCTGAACACTTCAATAACAGTTCAGCGGCAGCCAATGCTACCTGTGGCTGCTGTCAACCTGTCCCTATAGGGCTCAATGGTCGCTGCTAGCCGCTCACAGTTGGCAGAAACAGCTGCAGGAATCAGCAGAATCCTGCTGCTGTCAATTCATACCAGTGCTAGTCGCCATGCAAATGCAGCATAAGATACAGCCCTCTTCCACCCATATAAACGACATTTCTATAGTTTTCCCAGCAGTCCCATCTATGGCTTATTAAAATGACCCAAAATTCCAATAAAAAAAAAAAAAAAAAAAAAAAAACGCACATTGTTTCCCATCCAAATTAAAACCCATCAGAACTTTTTTTCACACCTGAATGCCGAGAGGGTGCAGGGCTGGAAAATAGCAGCTCTTGTCCACTGGGGCTCTGTAGGTCACCAGGTGAAGTTGGCATAGGTAGCAGCTCACCAATGGATGTCGAATCCTCTGTCCTACGTTTTTGAGATGGTGGAGAATTTACTTCCTCGCTTCGGGCTGGTACAGGGAGAAAAAAATAACATAAAAAGATAGCAATGTTTAAGGTATCACATTTTAAGCATTTTGTTTAGGCAAGATTTCAATCTTGGTTGCAGATAAACCGCTAAACACAACTAAAAGCCAGTCTTGTGACCCTAGATCTCCAGTTAGGCATTCTAGCACCACAACCAATCCCTCTGCTACCCTTCCGGCTGTTTAGGGTTAAAATGAAAGCCCCGCTGGAATCACAACCAGATTCAGTGATTCTCCTTACTCTACAACACTGAGCTCTGCCATGCAGAAGATAACAGGAAACCAATAAAAGAAATTCAGGCACATATACTGGTTTGGTTTAAAAATACATTACAACATAACTGAAAGAAAAACAAAAAAAAAATCTAAAACCACAGACCAGAATGTTTTGGCAAAAAGAAAATTCATATACTGGCAACATTCTACAAACATTTTTTTTTGGTCAACCTCGGTAACCTTGCCAACCTTGAAAAACTACTTTAAAAAGAGAAGTATGGGGTTTTGAGAAAAAAACAAAACAAAAAACACATGAATAAAAAAAAAACAACCCCTATATTCACCTAGGTGGATGCGAATTGTTGAGCCAGTCCAGGCTCCTGGGAGGATCCCGACCATACAATCGGGTTCTATCCAAAGCCTCGACTGGCTTGGTGACATCAGCCGGAAATAGATCACAGGAGTGCAGAACAAACTGCATTCCTGTGAGCTAAAGAAGTATAGCCAAAAGAACATTAGCTATACTTCTCCTTTAAGGGCATGTTCACACCAGCCAGCATGCTTAAATGAGAAGTTTTAGTATGTGGCCTGATGTCATGTGTACAGGCTGTTTCTTGCATTGGAGTAAGAATCCCTCCCCCAAAAAAACACTTTTTTTAGAGCTTCTTTATTGAAATTTCACAAACTGCATTTCATTAAATGTAATGTTCTGCAGCAGTGTGGTGACAAAGTGAGGTCCAGTGCATTGCAGAAAAATGCAGCATGTCTAACATAATGCAAGCCATCTCAATATAGCAAATTAGTGGTAGAAAAAAAAAAAAAAAAAAACTATTTCTATGCACCCTAGAAGTAATCCTACATTGATCTGTGTAGATTAATGCAGGTCACCAACCATGGCGAGTGTGATTGAGCCCTAAAGGATAATTGTACTTTGGCACTTCTAGACTTCGCTTGACATCACACAACCTGTTCTGTGCCTGAGCAAACAAATCTCTATTGATACTAAAGTTATGTTAATGCCATCCTCCATTGCAATAGACAGCTTTTCCATAGGAATAAATGCAGAGACCAGCTAGCAGGCTTTCGACAAAGAGGCTAATAAGCAGATGCTCAATATCCAGTAGATACAGTTTTGGTAAAAATGCAATGTAGAAAAAAAAAAAAAAAAAAATCAGCAATTTACTTACGAGTTGGGGGATTGCTGCCACGGCCCCGTTTGTTCCTTCTGCGATTTGGTGTAGATGTTGGAGAAGACATGATGCTGTAAATCATTGAGAGATATTAGGTCCTTTACATCTAATTCTAGCATGTAATTCAACTGTTTAAAAGCCCAACAACAGCCTCTCTTTTTTCTTTTGAACAGAAATACAAAATTCTTCAGCAAGTATAGCAAGTCCTATGCATGCATTTCAGTTTACCTGTAAATTAGTAATTTGCCTACACATTGTTCACCATATTCTCTGAGCAGTGTCACAAGTATGGGATTTTTAAAGGAAGTTTTGCATACACTTGATTTTCACCATTTTGCAAAAAGGCGCAAATTTAATATTTACAAATAGTTAATTATTAATGCAACACGGATTAAGCTTTTATATTTATTAAGTCGTCAGCAGAAATTTTGTAAAAGCGTGCAGTGTTTGTATCTGCTAATATTGATTTTAGTGTATTTTTAGCAAAAATATTGGTTTGATAAACATTTGAGCAAATATTGTGGGGCCTTAAAATTTAGCAGCACCTTCTTTTTATTCTATAGGTCATGTACTTTCTGAAAATATATGGTTTGGTGTGTCTTTTACAAACTGAAAGCTGTAAGGGAGAAATAAAGCAGTAGAAAAATTACAAAAATGGTCTGGCCACCTGAGTTTAAAGTGTTACTAAACCCACAACAGTAAAATCAGTCTGTATATGCAGTAAAGCGTGCTTAAATATAAATAAGGTGCGGCGCTAAATATTTCAACCAATAATAAATGCTTATTAAATAAAATATGCCAAGATTAATAAAATCATAAAATTCATCATAAGAATAATGTGACAAAGTGCCAAATATTCATATGATTCCAGTGACTTCCGTGATATCATATACTCCGTCACTGTTAGAGTGACCAGTAGTGTTATTATAGTGCTAGAATAATTGTCCCAATGTGAATATGGGAGATCAAATTATCTCCAGTAATTGGTGCTCCATCCAGACTATGTTGAGATAACCGGTATTAAGAAAAGGCTGTGCACTCACTAGATGCACAGTCAATCTGCTAGAGCCCAGAAAGGGAGGAGCTACAGTGTCGTGACGTCACGACGCCAGCACCACGTGGGTCCAGGCGGCCATCTTGGAATTCATCTCATGGTCAGTAATTTTGTCTTTTACTGCTTTACTGGAATAAACATATACCTTATGCAAAACGGTATCATGCTATTGGCCTCATCTTTTCTGGGCTCTTTGTGAGCTATCAACAACCCACAGAGCTTTATGAAAGGGGAGACAGAGCCATACTACCAGCAGTAGGGAGCAGTGAGGGGAATACCTGACCAGACCAGATCCATCCACACAGGAGCCTTCAGTGTATCCATAGATAATATTGTCTCTAAATGCGCAGATTAACTGTGCATCTGGTGAGTACACAGCCTTTTCTTAACACCGGTCATCTCCCCATTGTCTGGATGGAGCACCTATTACTGGAGATAATTTGATCCCATATTCACATTGGGACAATTACTCTAGCACTAGAATACCACTACTGGTCACTCTAACAGTGACAGACTATATATCACGGAACTCACTCAATTCATATGCATTTTTGGCACTTTGTCACAAGTCACTTTATTCTTATGATGAATTTTATGATTTTATCTTGGCATATTTTATATAAGCATTTATTATTGGTTTAAATATTTAGCGCTGCACCTTATTTATATTTAGGCTTTGAGAGGTTATTTGGTATCCTTTTGGTGCTTTGGCTGCTTTTTTGCTTTTAGCGCTCACTTCTTTTAGGAGTAAAGCATGCTTTTTATGCTCACTGTGGAACCAAAGGAGTTAATCACTTGCATTGAGTAAAAATGCTGTTTGATCCTGACTTCTGTGATCCTCCCCTTCTTATCTCCTGGTAAGATGTGTGGAGTCACTCTGCAAGTGCTCCGTTTGGTGTGTATTACTAAAGAGGGTTTTTTCTTTGGAGAGTGCATGTGATCAGCACAGGGCCAGTCAGCACTGCTGGACAGAGGTCAGGGGTTCTGCATCCTCCTAGGGCAAAATGAAACCGCCTCCTACAAGCTTTAACCAGTGCTCTGCTGGACACTGATAGAAGTCACAAGACTGCTATATACTGCTGATGAGAAAAGGTATTTAGCAGTTTATATTTACTAAAATAATTGCACTTGCAAGGTCCTGGGTGTAGTAAAACTTTAAAAGTAGACCGCAGGGCCTGACAGTGAAAGGGTTAAATCTTTGCGCAGGGAATTTCAAGACTATACAATCTGATGACACAGTGGGGTTTATTTACTAAAGCTGGAGAGTCCAAAATCAGACTCCCTTCTGCATAGAAACCAATCAGCTTCTAACTTCAGCTTGTTCAATGAAGCTTTGGCAATGAAACCTGGAAGCTGATTGGTTTCTATGCAGAAGGGAGTCTGATTTTGCACTCTCCAGCTTTAGTAAATAAATCCCAGTGTATCACCACTGCCTGAGACATCTGCCCTGTAGAATATTTTTCTTCTCTATTAGTTTCAGCAGAGCTAAGGGAAGTGTAAAGCTGGCCACACACTGGTAGAAATTTTGCGGGTTCAGCTGCACCAATTTCAATCATTCTGTAGCCAGGTCTACTTGACTGGGTGATGCTGACAGAATACAAGGTCCCTAAGAGGGTTGGGGAATTTTGTGTGGATTGCGAAATCTGTTCATTCAGCCTGCTGGCTGAAAGGAAAAGAAAAAAAAAAGAAACAGTTTATGGCCAATTGACACAGAACATGTTGCAAGCACAGCTCACTGGACAAATTCAACAATACCCATCTGACTGAACTCAGCATGCTCTGGGGTGACGTCCTCCTCGCCCGACCAATAAAAGTGGCCAGCGATCAAGACTTGGAAGCTCGCCGCCTGAAGAGCTTCAGAACGCTGCATCGCTGGAGTCTAAGTGAGCATAGTGGGGCCTGGGGTGTTCACCTTTTCATTTTTTCTGAAACAATGAACATTATAACCGCTTCCCATCCACCCTATAGCAGAAATACTGCTAGAGGGCGGCACGGGATATATGTGTGATTTTGCAGTTCTGGGCAGGGGGAGCGCGAGCAGCTCACTGTTCGCAGCCTTAGCTGTCAATCAAAGGGTCCCGGCCAGTGATTGCTCGCCGGCACCCGGTGATCGACGGGGAGAGAGAACTGTATGTAAACAATACAGTTCTCTCCCGTCAGCTCCTGCATACTGCTTTGTATGGCTCTGCATAGCATAGCAGAGCCATACAAAGCAGTGTGCTTACAGTTGAAAGCACACACAGCACAATGTGAAACAGCCCACAGTTAAGCCTTTGATCGTCCCAGATGTTAACCCCTTCCTGCCCAGTGCCATTAGTACAGTGTGAGTGCTTTTTATTAGCACAAATCACTGTATTGGTGTCACTGGTGATGTCAGTGACACCAAGTCAGTTCCCTCCAGTGTCAGAATGCCCACCTCAGTCCCGCTATAAGTCGCTGACCACCGCCATTACTAGTGAAAAAAAAAATTTCCAGTATATTTACCACCATTTTAAACGCTATAACTTTCACATAAACCAATTAATTTACATGTATTGGGATTTTTTTTTTTAGCAAAATACAATTTGCCCTAAACTTGACGAATTTTGATTTTTTTTTTATTGGACATGTTTAATAGCAAAAAATAAAAACTGCACAGGTGATCAAATACCACCAAACGAAAGCTCTATTTGTGGGGGGAAAAAAGGGCACAATATTAATTTGGGTGCAGCATTGCATGATCGCAGTTAAAGTAACGCAATAAATGGCCAAGTCAGGAAGCCTCGCAGTTATGGAACGCCATTTCAATACAAAATCCCCTTTAGGCCTAGAAAAAAAAAAAAAATTCAGGAGGTGGCAGTATCACCTCCTGAATGTCTGGAAGCTGCTGACCTCCCTCCCTCTGAAAAGCAGTCCACGATGGATCACATTTCATAGGGCAGGTGAGATTGCTGCTCATATTAAGGAGCCCAAATCTGAAAGTGCATAGCACAATAAGGCCCCTTTCATATGTGGCGGATTCCGTTCCTGTCAGCAAGGGATCAGCTCACAAATCCCCTGCTCATCTAACCAGATCCGGCAGATGAAACATTTGTGCTTGCTCATTTTCTGTGGAGGAGACACTAACAGAGCCCACTCTACTCTATGGGCAGCCGGCAGTAAAAAGACAACTGTCTATTCACACTTGACTACCCTGTGAACTGATCCACCTAAATGGAAGAGAACAGACCCCATTCCAGGACTAAAACTGGGGGTAGGCAGGAGTAAACCAACAAGTACGTTCACACCTGCCTGTCCATTGGAACACATGGGCCTTGTGATCAAGTCCACCTGAAAAACTGACAAGGGGACCTCATTGGACCACTCATGTGAAAGGAACCTAAAGGCTTTTTAAAGCCTCTCTCATTTCATTAGATATCCCAAAAATAAGAGTATTATTCCTGATTTTTGGGAGGACTTGAATTCCTTTTTTTTTTTCTTCTAACAGAAGGGGAGAAAATACAAGGCCAGGTTCACATATGTGCGGCCGTTCGGGTACAAGAGCCTATTCATTTGAATGGACTCCTGTGCCCTGGGACACACAGGGAAGAAGACCCTGCACTACTTGGGAAATTGCAGCCCGCGCAGGAACCGAGATTCCCAGTACAGTTGCGATTTCCAGTGCGGGCAGCATGTCATTACAATTAATGGCACCTGTGGGTCCGGCATTCCTCTGTGTGGGTGGTGCAGCTGCGGGTATTTGCATGGTTCCCAGAGCGGCACCACCCACACACGAGAACCAAGCGTAAGGCCCCATTCAGATAATGTGGTGATCTGTGTTTTACCACACTGGATGAATGCAAGTCACTGCTAGGACACATAGAAAACAACATCCACACGCCATCGCAGCCTGGAGGTGAGGTGCAATGAGCTGCATTAACCGCTTTCCCATCGCCCTATAACAGATATTCTGCCACAGGGCAGCAGGGGTGCGCAAAATCACAAATATATACACGATTTTGCATTTCCTGGTAGGGGGTACGCGCGCTTGACCC